AAATTACTGTAGTGGGATAGGAATAATGACACATGCCACCTTTTTCCAGACTTATGCCTCCTAGATGATAGTGTTTGGACCCTGGATTTGACGTTGTACTTGCAGGATTTTAACAATTTAACAAATATAAAGGTCATCGTCTGTCGGTTTTTTTTAAATTTAAAGTATCAGGGAGACAAGGTAAATTAATAGAGTTATTTAGATTTATTCCTTAATTCACATTTTGGAAATGAACTTTTCATTTAAAATCCTCACAAAAATTTTACAATAAATGCGATTAGAAACCGTACGGAAGTTCCAGAAAAGTCAAATGGCATTTTATACCAACAATACAATGTCTTAGTAAATTGAAGAATGAGCCCCTTCGTCGTTTGAAAAACTTTATGTTCAGATATTATACAAAGATATGAATTATTAGTAAGAACCAATAGTACAGTGCTTTTTAACAGGGAACAAAGTCCACAAAAATCCCAGCCATGGAAAGATTGCAAGATCCAATTGAAATATGACAATTTTAGAATTAAAGATTGAAACTAAACTTTAATAATAAAATCATAAATTGGATTTGCATGCCAGTTCATGTTTCCCGCATAAATGACAGTACTCACGACCTATTAACTGCGAGAACGTTAACTGGTATTAGGGGTTGAAATTGACAGTGGTTCACAGAACCAATTAGAGGCTCTATGCTCCCAACTGGCAGAATAGTAATAATATTGTCTTAATAGGCGTACTTCAACTTAGGTCTGCTTCTTACAGAATCCGCATTTAAGGCACTATTTGACCTTACTTTCTTTGGACCACTTCAATGTATATTCATGAAGAGATCAAATAAAAATATGAATCAATTATAAGAGCTAAGTGAATAAATTTACTAGCAGCTTGCGTAATTAGCAAGCTTAATTCCATTTCTAAGTACAAATAATTGACAGTAAAACGCATAGTTTGGCGCGGCTTAATTTTCATTAATAACGAAGCATTTACACTAATCTGTAGTTTATAACTATAATTTATTAAGCCCGTCCCTGACCATCGTCCCCATCTTTTGCATTTATTCATACGCAGATTTATACATTTACAAATATTATCTCTACTTCAATTACTTAATATTAATTGAAAAGAATTTACCTTGTAGTGGAGTAGGTATTCCGAAAGTGAGTTCTTGTGTACATGTTTAGTAACGCTCACTTAGGTTGCACATGCCTACATCTTTTCTATGTCAACGGATGTCATTGACTACCCCCCGAGTGCTTTCTTTGCCAGTTCTAACAATTCCTTTCGACTCCATTTTAAGCGATTCGCCACGCCCCCAACGTAAGTTTTTATTTGTGTTAGTGTTTTTGTTGCACAACCAAATTCTGTGTATTTAATCATGAACTATATGCGTTAAAAGAATGTATGACTTCGAGACGGTCATATTGTTTTCCTTCGAAAAAATACGAGATCGACCGTTAGGCATATTACCGAATAGATGCTACGAGTTCGTTATTTCGATTTCAAAATTACAGTTAAAGATAAAAATCCGTATTGCTTAATTATGAATTACTCAGTATCTATCCAGCAGGATCACTTCATTAACTTACTTACAATTTTTTTCTCTAATAATCCAAATAATCTGGTGGTTAAAGGTTTGCGATATTCAGGCGGACTTATTGAAGACACAAAAGCACTCTAACCATTGGCTTGATAAATAAGATAAAAAAAATTTCGGTGGCTGTTCGGACGGTAGAAACTTTTAACTTTCACTAAGCAGATAAGTGCTTTGTTTACGCACACTCGAACTAACTTTTTCTGAATACGGACAAACCGCTAAAAAACGTTCAACAAACTTTTACTACTTCACTTGACGATAACTTAAATATTTTATTAAAATTGCTTATACACACTTTATTTTGAAACTGACGAACTGTGTCTTCAATTAAATAAATAGGCCCAACTGCCCGAGATTTAGCGTAAACACACTCGTTTCACCGTCGCGAAAACTAACAGCTTCGTTTTTACGCTGATTCCAGTATTGAAGGGAGCACCACTTCCACTATAAAATAAATCTCCTTCAGGATTTTTTTCAAAAACACCGCCAATCAAAATTAGACTTAATAACGCGAGCTTCGAACAAATGCGTCCTCACTTACGCCGAAATAACGCACAATTCTTCGAAACGCCTTAGCTCTTTTAAAAGCGATAAGAATGCGTGCGTTAATTAAATTTCGTCAGATGAGACTCCACCAGACGTCCCTACATTTTAACTCGAAAATTCACGATTTACAATAAAATCCACATTTAAATAAACTACAAAAGCTGTAAAATTTATAGAAGAATCACGGAATTACAAGCAATTCCAAAAGGAAATACACATGTATACCTAATAGATTGAAGATAGTGTCATATACAGGGTGTCTCTTCATTATTTTTGGTGTTTAGGTCGAATTAATGTCTACATGATGTTGTTTACACATAATATTACCACTAACTTTACTGTCAGTTTGACATACCTACTGTATGTATCCACATTGATCTTGGACCAGAACCGAACCGGATAGGCGCAATACTGAGAAGATTCCCAAGGTCTCCCCGCCGGGATTCACCTCAAATGGTCCTCTAATTACAGAAAACAAACTCAAGTGAAAGGACGCAATCAGACAGAAGAACATCAATTTCACTTAATCAGAGATGAAATATCGATTTATTTTAAGAATTAAAGTAGTACTCATTTTAATTCGATCCTTGCCTCTCTGAGATGCGTGATGGCCCATAGCTCGGTTTCGCCTCGCGTTAGTCATCGCATTGCATTTTTTAAAGGGCGGTAATTCAAATCAAACGTGCTTATGCCCAGACTGGGAAATGCCAACTGTATAGATATTTTGAAATTTTATCCACAGACACTTCCAGTGAAGAACAGCATAACGCATGTAGTAAAAATCAAATGTGCCATGCGCAAATTGTTATATTTTTTTGAAATTTTAACCACAGGTGCTTCTAGTAAAGGAAAGCATATTCCAAATTTCAGACATGCACTTGCTTATTTTTGGAGACATCTCCTTGCAAATTTCATTTCTAGTAAAGGAATACCTAAGTCCCGACTCCATAGATTCAATTACTTGTAGCTCGGTAACGTAGAAGTTTTATTTTTAAACCCCTGCAATTTGTGTTGTATCCTTTAAAATGAAATCCCTTCTTAATTCCTTACTTGAGTCGATCGATCTGACTGACTGGATTAGCTCAGAAAGTTCTACAATTTCTAATTTTCTACAGATCATAATTCAACTGACTCTTAAACATCGGGTTGTTTGAATCGCTCGGAAGATTCCTTTCATTCGAACCGTGCGCCCTGTGCGAATGATTTTCGAAAAAATCTTTGATCCCCCTCTGATGTCGAAGAAGTCTTTCGATATTTTCCAGACAATTACGTAAGACGTGTCCTCTGGTGCCCTTGAACCTCGCACCTTTTTGAAAATATAATGGTTTTTTTACAAAGACTCTTGTCGATTGTTGCAGGACTCGTATAGACTTTTAAAGCTTAAAAGCTCTTAAGTTTTTCAAAGGTTCTTAAACCCTTAAAGGGTCTAAGACACTAATTGAGTCATAAAGACTCGTAGTATTTAGGCAGTTCTGGATGCTCTTCGACGCTGTAGGCGACACTGGATAGCATTTAAAGCACTTAATAGCTCCCAGAGACTTTAAGGATTATTATGAATATCAGTTTCTATAGTTCTACTACTAGATCGTTCGGCGAATTGAACGTGAGTATCGATACTAGACGTCGTCTAGTATAAAAACAGTCACGTCAGTCATCGAAGGTAGCCGCCCACTGCAAAACTGGTCGCGTGTAAGGTATACACAAATTATGCTATTATATTTTCATTTCTATCTTGCCCTTGCGAAGAAAGATACATAAGTTTTGCAGTGGGCGGCTACCTGTGACTGTTTTTATACTACACGACGTCTAAGACAAACGCTTCTTATTTACTTAAATACCACGCTGGAAGAAAATACGAATTAGTAAATGGGGATGAGGCATTTAATCATTCAACATCAAATTCATATAACAATCAAGAGCACGAATAATATTGGATCGTATTAAAAAAATGTACAAATAATAACTGGCAAAATGCGGTTGTTGTTGGCCGATGGCCTTAAAACAAATTAATCTGAATATGTCAAAAACTACTAAAAAATATTTATCACAACGCGGTTACCGCGTACGCGGTGAATACAACGCAAAAAAATGCAAAGGCAAAATTATTCCTTCCTTACAGAATATTTACAAACAAGTGATTGTCAAACTTAATAGGAATGCTATTAGTGAAAGCACCTAATTTGATTTACAGTACGTTCTTGTTTCTTTGTGTGTTGCGATGTGCTTTTAACTTTTTTTCTACCACCGGAAATACTTTCTGTCGTTGGTCTTTGTGTTGAAAATGCCCTCCGGAAACCGATTTTAGGGCTGTTTACTCCGTTTAGGAAATATGTAAATTTTGCGTAACCTGACGCAGGTTCGAAGGCGGGTTTAAAATTAATTTACACTAGTAGAGGTTTTGGTAAGAAAATGAATAACCAAAAATTATAATCGATATCGACTTGTTAAGTGGTCACAAAAATGGTAACTAAATGGCATATTTAATCGCTTTTGCCTTCAGATTAACGCTGACTAATATTAGGATTTAGTAAAACATGTCGTAGTTCCAGTCTACGTCTTAGAGGGAGGTATAATATTTTCGATTGAGCATTCCACGTGCCAAGTCAATTTTCATTATCTCGGTATGTGTTCACATTGAAAATTGGGAGTCTAGACACCATGACCTACGACCTACGTACGTTTAAATTGCACATGCACCCCCGCGAATTACGTCTGTGTATACTTCCAATTTATGCAAACGTAAATTGTAATCACACTCCCTCATTATCTAGACTTGTTAATAGCGGGACAATCCGCCATCATTGAACGAACACGAGCGAAAATAAACTCTCAAGATATTAACGTCAGTTTCTTCTTGTTTCAGTTTGCGAAGCACCTACTTACGAGATTTAGATCTCTACCAAGTTCGATACGTCTTTACGAAAGCCCTCGAGGTATGGTCGAAACATTCCAGGCTGACATTTACGGAAGTCAACAGTGACAGGGCCGACATCCTCGTCTACTTTCACACGTAAGTAAAATCCTCTCGCGTTTTTGATCCTTTTGGCGACGAGCGCGCGATTTGATTATTTAATAATTGGATCGCATCCACGAGTCACGTGTTTGATTGCATTCGCTTAACAGACGTCGGTAATCATTATCCCTTTAGTCACGTGTTCGTTAAATATAAAATCGATCAATTACGAATGAGCTTCGGGCTTGCAAATTCCCCCTCCCTTGATTAATTTTGTTATTATACGACGGGCGCCCATTAAACGGCAAAGTGGATTATATATCTTTTGTATGAAAAATGTTTACGTCTTTCTAAGGCTACATTAAAGTACAGTGATAAATGAAATGACTTCATTGCAGTCCACTTGCTTCATATTAAGTCTTGTGATTTACACCGCTTTCATATTGGAGGAAGTATACGCCAAGCGCCGTTGTTAATTTCTAAACTGTCGCTGGAAACGATAATGTGGCAAGACAAATCTTGCTGCTGTTTTATTCTCCCTCTTCTTTCCAGCCACCTATATTGTTCTCAGAAAGTTATAGTTTATACAAACCAATGTATTTGGTTGAGACCTTTCATTAGAATACCATTAAGGGTAGAACGTGTGTTCACCCCCCTCCCCTTTCCCTCCCAATTTCAATGTATGTATTTGACACCACTAAAGGCATGCGTATGCAAATTCAGAGACCAGTTGGTTATGTCGCATGTAAAAGTTATGAACGTTTTAAATTCAAAAATAGCATCATGAAATGGGGGGGGGGGGGCTCGTGAGACAGCGACATTTGATGGCCGTCTGGCACACCTTCAAGACATAGGCAACATATTGCAAAACATTCCAGGACTCTAAGACAATTCAAAACCGCATACGTGAGTTTACTCTCCCCCCCCCCCTCCCCTCAAGGCACAGTAGGGCGGTAGTGGGTAGGAATCAGTTCCCTGGTCTGTTGAGATATCTAATTGGAATACTAAGAAACAACATTCATCCCCCCCCCCCCCCATTCCAGAGAACCTTTTCTTAGAATTCCATGAAGGGTAGAAGCCCCCTGAATTAGTTGTCTTGGGAGTCTCCCTCCCTTCCCCCCAAAGAAGTGTGGAGGAAAAGATTGGTGTCGGAAGAATACGAGAAGGGGGCGTCAAGAAGACAGTGTGAACAAAAGATGAGAATACGTGAACGACATGGGCGAGGAGGCCAATAGATTGTTGGAGAGATGAGTTAAAGGAGAAATGAGGCGTAAAATAAGAAAGCATTAAGCAAGACGACGTAGACGTGAAGCAGTCGTGAAAGATACGAAAAGAAGGTGTAAAGCGGATGCAGAAAAAACCGACGGATGAGTGAAGATACCTGTAAGAGGAGGAATGGGGGAGAACATGAATTATGGAGACCTAAAGCTAGGAACATTGAAGAAAACATTAAGGAAGCGTACGTAAAAAAGACGCGAAGAAAATAGAAGAGAAGAGAAAAAGAAAGAGGAATGAAACCAGCTGACAAGACAGTAAAATATGCGTAAATCAGGCTCTGCAGAAAGGGCGCTTTGAGAAGTAAAGAAGTTGCGAAGGAGGTGCAAAAAATGCACTAATAACGCACTAGGGAAAAATGTGAAGAAGGAACAAAAAGGACTAGAAAAAAAGCATATTGAAAACTTGAAGAAAGAAAATGTGAAGGAAAAATTTGAAATAGTTGTGAAGAAAGCGCTAGTGGAGGAGGTGTGATAAATTGGGTTCAAGGGAAAGAGGAGTTAGGGACACGAGTCGGAATGAGTCGCGAAATAGGCGTGACGACAGCATTAATCAAGTGTATAGGAGACATTGGTGAAGCAAGCGCGAAAGAAGGATTAGTAAGTGAAGAAGACGTCGGGAAAGGAGAGGTAGCAGAAAAGAATCGTGAAGAGTTTGTTAAGAAGGGATAAAGGAGCCCTTTTTAAAGGGGATAATGGAAGAGCATTGAAGTAAAAACGTACAACGCGAAAGAGGCGTGAGGAAAAGATTATTTAAGCAACATGGTGTGGAAGAAGCGCGATGGAAGTGCTAATGGAAGAGATGCAAAGAAGAAGTCCAAAAGCAGAAGAGGGCGTGAATGGTGTCGGAAGAAGGCAAGAAGGTATAAAACAGCGCGAAGAAAGATTGGGCAAACAGGAAAGAAAGAGGCGAGGAGGAAAATGGATTGAAAGAGAGTGGCGTTAAAGAAGGATGCGCAAAGTAATCGTGAAGCCAGAATTCGTTAGAGAAGGAGGCGTCAGGAAGGAATGAGGACGATCTGAAGAGTATAAAGGGCGAACGAAGGAGGACGAAAGGGAGTGAAGGAGGCGTGGAGAAAGTATTCCTTAAAGAACAGGGTGTGGGAGAGGTATTCAAATAGCGGCCATAATGCGTAAATTAGACGTAAAGCAAGAAAGCGTTAAATATGAGAAACAAGAAGCAGTTGTAAAAGATGCGAAACGATGGTGTGAATGAGGTGGGGCGAATGAGTGAAGAAACATGCAAAAGGAGAATTAAGACGAACTGAATAATGAATCAAAAAAGAACCTTGAAGGAGGCATAAAAATAAAAGTGTTGGAGGAGTGTAGAAGGGATGTGTCGTGAATGGTACGCGAAGAAGGCGTTAGATGTAAAGTGAAAGAGATCGGAACAAAGCGTGATGGAAACAGAAGTTAGATAAGGAGGCAAGTAGCATAAAGGCGGAAAGAAGAAGACATAAAAGAGTTAGAAGGAATCTATTAAGGAAAAAAGAGTGAAGCAGTCCCGACGGAGATATCAATTCATTGCGAATAGCGCGTAATGGAAGTGAGATTAAAACAGGCATGAGGAAAGTGCTAATGGAGACCCCTAACCGAGAGAGGCAAGAGTGAATGGTAAAGGAATTTGAACTAGGCGTTAGGGTGGTGTGACAATAGTGCGAAAAATAAAAAGAAGGCGTGAATGGTGGCAAAAAGGCGTAAAGACAGCGCGAGGAAGGTTTGAGTAGACGTTAATGATAGAGGGGGGGGGGCATATTACAGAAATGCAGATCTACGTGAAAAAGGTATGTGAAAGTCAAAAGGACAAGAAGGTCGAAGCGTAGAAATGTATGAAATGAAGGGGACAGAAGGAACCGTGCATGGCACAAAACAGCCAAGAAAGAGATAGGCTCATATGAAAGAATGAGACATGCTGAAATATGCTTAAAAGTGTAAAAGAAAGAAGCGTGTTGGAGGTACGGTGGTAAAAATTTTCGAGGAAGAACGGAAACGCAAATAAGGCCTAAACCAGTGAGATGTACAAGAAATGAGCGTCGAAAATTCTTATATGAGCCGTGAAGGTTAATAAACAAGACGAAAAAAGGGGTATAAAAACGTGAAAATATAATACTACGTAGAAATTTTATGTATGTGCAGTAAAATTCCTCCGTTAGATGTCGCCATCCTTTGAAATAAAATCCCTTCTCAATTTCTCATTCGATTGTGCTTCTCGTTGTCCCTATAAAAGTTTGATTTTGTATTTTCACACTTTTGAAAGCCGGAAACTGAAAAGACAAGAATATACGGAAGGAAGGAAACGTTAAGAAAGCAAAACAATAGGAAGCGTGAAGAAAACGAAAAAGAAGTTTAAAGAAAGGGGTGGAAAGAAAAGAAGCGTGCAGTTGTCTGAAATAGGTATGAGGTAAGAAGAGATGTGAAAGAATGGAGGAGGCGTGAAGAAATAAGTAGCAAAGGAAGAGATCATAAGGAAACAGGCGTGAATGATTCATAACGGAGACAAGAGCCGAAGAAGCAAAAGAAAGGAATGTAAAGAATATTCTGAAGGAAACGGAAAGAGAAGAAACGGGAAACAGGAATGCGGAAAGAGAATAGGCGTAAAAAAAGCAGTGATAAAGACATGCCAAACAGAAGACATGAAGTAGAAATGAAGATGGAATAAGGGAGGGCGTCAAGAATACGAAAAGCAAGAATCGCGAATAGGTAAAGAAAGCGTGAAAGAGACTGAAGGAAACAAGATGTGAAACAAGAAGGCAAGTGGAAGAAAGGAGTTCGAAGGCACCAAACAGTTGTAAAGAATTGCACGAAAGAAGAATGTATTTTTCACTGGGTCAGAAACATTTTGTGGGTCACGTACTCTTCGACTTAATCACCCAGTTGTTCTATGCCCTCTTTACGCCTCCGAAAGTCAGAGAAATTGTGCCGATAAATCTACGATATGCTGGCAGGAAGAAATTACAACTGAATATGTTTCGACATCACAAGTGAATGCAAAGAGAGAGAGAGAGAGAGAGAGAGAGAGAGAGAGAGAGAGAAGAATCACGTAAAAAAAATAATGAATCCTTCCAACCAAAATATCAGAATCTCAATTTTGTTAAATTCGGCGATGAGAAACGAGTGCTGCGAAACTTATTAAAATTTGCGCGAAATATTTTATCCATATAAATGAAGGGAGTGAATGAGAAATTAAAATTAGAATAACTTAAAACATGAAAAGCTCTAACGTCTTTTGAGCGCTAAACTGGGTTTTTAAAATCTAATTTTTGAGAGCGCCTCATCGCTCTTAGAAAGGTTAAGAAAAATTTCATTAATTTAATTAATCGAAATTTTTCTTGGCAATTTAATTATCGCCTTGTCGGAACAATCTTTGTTCTGTGTTTATAAGATTAGTAGCATCAAAAGAAAGCTTTCGCCCTCATTAAACAGACAAAAGTTAGTGAACTTTCCCAGCGGAATAATATTTTACTGGATTTTAGGTAACATCATCTGGAATTGTACGTAGCGTACCAGGTTTACGAGCTTTCAATGCAATAAGTTAAAAACTTTCATAATAGCACTAGCACTACTAATTAAATTTGAGCGTTGCTGCACAGGTGTTTCCATAATATGAAACAGAATATCTATGCGTTCCATCGTACAGGGTGGTCAAATAAGAATGCGAGGTACTGTATCTGGGAACCTGTCCATCGTAGAGGCTTGCGGTAAAAAAATTTATTACTAAAACGGCCACGAGTTTCTGCAATGGCCGCTAGGGGGTGTAACTGCAATTTGGAATCTAAAAAAGTG